CCTCCCAGGTAGGAACCTGAAGCTTATTCTGTGGAGGCTGAATCAGCACAACCTCAGACTAGGGATAGCAAAAGACAGGAGAGTGGCTCCTTGCTAGAAACATAGTGTTATAGTTTGGATGTGAGGTTTCCCCCAAAAGCTCACATCTGAGACAATGCAAGAAGGTTCAGAGAAGACATGATTGGGTTAAGAGAGGCTTAACCCAATCAGTGAATTAATCACCTGATGGGATTAATTGAGTGGTAACTGAAGGCCGGTAGGGTATTGGGGTGTAGCTTTGAGTATATATTTTATATTTGGTGAGTGAAGTCTTTCTTTCTGCTTCTTATTACTATGTGAGCTGCTTCCCTTTGTCACACTCTTCTGCCATAACATCCAGCCTCACCTTGAGCCCTGAGGAATGGAGTCTGCTGTCTATGGATTGAGAACTCTGAAATCATGAGCCCCAAATAAACTTTGCCTCCTCTACAGTTGTTTTGATTGGGTCCTTTTAGTCACAGCAGAGAAAAAGCTGACTAAAATACATTGTAATGATGTGGATTTTTTTTTTATTCTCTGCCTCACATGACTTGGAGTAAAAGATTCCTCACTGGGAAAAAAAAAAAAAAAAAAGTGTCCCCAACTATTGACATTGGAAATGGAAGAGGAAGTTTCTAACAAACTAACCAGATCATTGTGGGAAAAAAAAAAAACCAAAAAAACAACCACCTTCAACAAGCCCTACCATATCATTTGCTATTAGTTTGACAGTATGGAAAACAGTAGTGAAAAGGAAACTGTAGAAGCATTTGTGAAAAAAATAGCAACTAGCAATAGTCTTACGAAAATAAAAGAATAAAAATGAGGCAATAATGAACTCCAGGAAAATAAAGCATTAAGTGTCACTTGGTACCGCAGTGGGCAATGTTTGCATAGTCAAAATAATTAAACAGTTCATTACTGATAAAAAAAAATGGACAGATGAAGGGAAGGGAAATAGGGGCTAGGTATAATTATAAATGCCATGAATAACTACACATTTTATTCATATTAGTGCTATATTAGTTTCCTAATCTATTCCATTCTTCTCTTCTAGCTTCTGGTGGTTGCTAGAATCCTTGGTGTACATTGGCTTTTAGCTGCATAATTCCAATTCCTACTTTTAGTGTCATGTAGCTGTCTTTCCTCCACATCTGTTTCGGTCTCTTCTTATAAGGATACAAGTCATACTGGATTTAGGGCCCACTTATTTTAGTATAATTGAATCTCAATGAATATCATCTACACCAAATAAAGTCACTTTTTGAGGTTCTGAGAAGGACATGATTTGGGGCAGAGAGCATTATTCAATTCAATACAATCAGTATAAGCATAATAGTTAGAAATATGGAAATGAATTCTAATGAAACAGCTAAAAGTCAAGGGTTCTTATCTCTGGAATGGAAACTGATGGGTTTAAGGAAATAACATTTATACTTCTAAGGCTTGGAACAGGCATGCCTATGGCATACTGACACCTAGATACCCTCCTTCAGATCAGAGAAGAGGATCATACTTCTTCTGGTTGACTGGCCAAGACACTAGTTTTTAACAACAGGTTTGAGAGAAAATGACACTTTTGGTCAGATCTATACTTGCCAGTATGAGACCATCAGCTCTATTCTTCATGCTACAGGGATGGTGAAAGCATGTATGAAAACAGAGTTTCTGTCAACCTGAATGACTTCAGTGAGCATAGTCTCCCATTGCTACGGTCCCTAAAGTCCATATATGAAAATACTAAACCCCAAGGTAGATTTAGGAGGTGAAGCATTTGGGAGGTGATTAGGTTTTGAACAGGATTAATACTCTTATAAAAGAGATTCTAAATGCTACTTTGTCCTGTCCACCATGCTACTATATAGTGAGAAGGGGCTGACTATGTGCCAGGAAATGGACCCTCACCAGCACCAAATCAAGGCAAATGCCTTGATCTTTCACTTTCTGGACTCCATAATTGTGAGAAATAAATTTCTGTTGTTTATTAGCCACCCATAATGGTGTTTTATTGTAGCAGCCTGAATGGACTAAGATACCTACTCATATTAAACTGAAGTGGGAATGACCCCCCCACAAATCCTTGTAATCTATTGAGATTTGTGGCTTGTTACTGATGCTATAGCAGCATAACCTAGTCTATCTTGTTGAACGCAAGGCTTAGGGTTAATATTTGAATTTTATACAATGAATGTTTACTATTGTGATAAAAGTAAAAATGAATAAATAAGTTGTAAATGAGAATGTAAGAAATAACAGCATTAGTAATTTTAGTAGGTTTTTTTTTAAGTGCATGGTATTCTAAGAACACTGGATTCTAAGTTGCTGTAGGCATTGTCAGAGTGCGGCATGGAAGAGGGGCATGGTGGCACACACTTATAATTCTAGCTACTCAAAAGACTATGGTGAGAGTATTGAGAGTATAAGCCCAGCCTGGGCAACATAGCAAGACCTGGTCTCAACAGCAACAGCAGCAACAACAATAAAAAGTAGGGCATGGGATCATCAGATCAAACAAAGCTCACAACTTTTTAAGAACTGTTTTCCCTCTCCTTGGATATTATTACTTGAACGGTGGTACACTGAATTAATCCAAGTATGGTATAGCTCATTCTACAATATCTCATGTGTTGGATATAGCAATATGAATGTGTTTGTTTCTTGGGAGTCTAGTCTTTACTTTTTGGGTTCTTTTTGTGCCTAATCCTTTTCTTTGCTGAATGAAAAACAATAGATTCTAAAAATTTATTTTCAAAATCTTTTCTCAAAGGTTGTTTTTTTTCATTCTGCAAATGATCAATTGCATTCTTTGGCATGAATTTATCCCCATTTAAAAATGTAGTCATCTCCTGTAGAATGTAAGAGTAAAGAGATTCCAATACTTTAGTCTGCTCCTGTCCAATCACTATCACCATTATGTCAATTGCCTAGTTGGTAAATCCCATTGATCTTTCCATCAATCTTCCATTGCATAGTTAGTTGCAAATACTCTGGGTTTTCAGTTTTCTCTATGGTTAGGGTCTTTATTCAATATACTTTTTATTGCTGTGCAGGTCAAGTACCATCTAGTATCCAGTTACCATCTTCAGGGTACCTGTATTATTCTTTCCCCTTGAAGTTAGGCAAGGGCATGTACTAATTCCAATTAATGAATGCCATTTTCATGAAAATATTTATATAACAATGAATATATAAACCTCCAGTTATTTGGCACATCTATTTCAAGAAGTAAGCAATTCAATTCTAGTCCAGCAAAATGAAACAGTTTTGAAAGTTCATGGTCATGAGGTTCCCATGCCTCAAAGAGCTCCTCAAATTGTGAGCTCTTTGAGGCATAGCTAGTCTGCAACCCACATGCTAGGTGCTCAAAAACATATTTGTTGAGTGGATGAATGAAGAATTGGGGGGAAATGAGTGAATGATCATAATTTCAATATCACATCTTGTTTAAATCATTCTTATATCTCCTGTATACCCATTTGAAAACTAATTTAGGGAGTCACCCTTAAATGAGTAAGAATTTATTCCTGAGTAAGACTAGAAACAATATTATGGTTTTTTAAAGAAAGTGAACACAGATTCTAAGCATGAGTATTGCTTCTATTTCTGAAACCTATAACAAAAGATGATCCAGGGTCCTTGAATTTGAATGAAATTTGTGATTTTTCTTCTTTATCTGTTTTGGTTTAATGACTTGAAGCTGTTAACAACTGAATTTTGTATCCTTACAAAATCTGTATGCTGAAACTCAAATCCCCAGTGTGATGGTATTTGGAAGTGAACTTTTGGGAAGTGATTAGGTTTAGAAGTCATGAGGGCGAAACATCCATCATGGAAATAGTGACTTTATAAGAAAAGGAAGAGACAGCAGAGCTTTCTGTCATGGCCAAGTGAGGATACAGTGAGAAGGAGGCTGTCTGCAAGCCAAGGAGAGGGCCCTCACAAAGAAATGAGCTTCTCTGACCTTGATTTTAGACTCTCCAACTTCCAAAACTATGAGAAATACTCATCAGTTATTTAAGTCACCCAGCCATGTTTTTTGTTACAGCAGCTAAGTCAGACGCCAAATTCTCACTTTCTCTTTTTCAATGAGAAATGTAATATTATTTACACTTTAAATTATTAAATTATTAATATTAATATTATTACACTTTTCCAGAAACCAGTCTAAGATTCTCCAGATTCTGTAGATAAAGTAACATGACCATACAGTGACTACTCTGACTTATTAAGTATTTCCTGAGACAGTAATGATTTGATCAACTACCATTGTTGGATAGCACTCTTAGTCTTCAACCAATAAATGGAGACTTTCATTAAACTCTAACAACTTCTAATGGCAATAGGGAGTTCCATAATTCAACCACAGGATAAACTTTTTAAAAAATGCTTTAGGATCATATTAAACCTTATAAGATTTTGTTATGTTTTTTGTTTGTTTGTTTTTGCTCTTGGTAGATAGATATAATACATTGCCCTGATTTTTATCTCCCTTCAAGAGCAAATTCATTTCCCTATAAACATGGTATTTTGAATTGGAAAAGAGTTATAGGAATAAATTCTTTAGGCACCATTTAAGAAGCTTACTTGAAATTTTGGAGTCTCACACCAAATGCTTACTATTAAATAGCAATATGTTATATGAAATTTCAAATGAAAATGCTATCATAATTCACTGGATAAAGTTGAATTTTTACATCATTTTGATAAATTTTCCTCATTTACCAATATAGCCACAAATCATAACTTAAGGTTGTCAAGTGAAGGCAATAAAATATTACATACCTTCAGATGACCTCTATCCAGAAATTCTTTTCACTGTTCACATTTTATCTGTCAAATAGTACTTTCTTTAAAAAGCAAATACAAATGCCACTATAGGGAGAGGCTACCAGCCTGGGACAAGTTCTAGCATTTAGAACTCTGACAGATTTTAATTTGGATATCAGCCAAAGTCAATAAAACTTGTTCATGCAGAAACTTACCTGGTTTTCACCACATCCAGGGGGTGCATCAGGCAAATTTCTACAAGACCTGAAAGATGATAAAGGATAGTCCAATAAACATTTATGTAAACACTGGTTCTTATTCCTTGACCCTATTAATTTCTCAAAGTTGAAGATCCAAATAAAGAATTTGGAACTTTGGACCTGACAACCAATAGAAGTAGACTAGTTACAAAAGACAAAAGCTTAACATGATTTTATTTCAATGGGAGTAGAATTTTTGAGTATTTTCTTAAAAGTGCTCTGTAGCTTGGTAGGGCTAATGGAGAAAAATGAAACAGGAATCAGCCTGTATTCCAATCATGTAAGCAGGTATTATTGCAATCTCAATCCAGATCAATTGATAAAGACTGGGAACATCTATTATTTATAGAAATAAACATTAAAATGGAATCAGATGAACTGTTACCATAGGCCTAGAAGTGGCCTCAAGAAACTGAATCATACTATGTACTTCTTGGCAATCGTATTACCTAGTATGAAGTCACAGCCTAAATAATGTGTAGGGAATAGATTTTAATAATTTCTCTTTTTCATCAAATTGAAAGTCTAACATAAGAAAGAAGATGACTCAAATATCCAGTTCCATTTAACAATCTATCCTAATTGCTTAGTTTAAGACACATTAATTAATTGCTAGTTCAAGACAAATGAGACCTAGAAAATTTGCTCTCACCAAGCTGGTATTTAAATTTAAATTCATCAGTCACAGATAAACACAAAATAAAATGATTTAATCTTCTCACTCATGCATAATATAAAAATTATATTGCCAATCATCAACTATAAAACCACTTTTCCTGGGAGGGGGGAACACTAGAACTTCATAGTAACTTGAGGAGGGTTGTGAAAAATGCACAAAAAACTTAAATAATTATAGATTTAGATAAGTGCTTTTCTAATAGACCTTTTTTTTAAAAATTTTACATTCAATATAAAACCAGAATAATAGACACTTAAGAGATAAAATAGCGTGCTGGGGTTGTGGCTCAGCAATAGTGCGCTCACCTAGCACGTGCGAGTTGCTGGGTTCAATCCTCAGCACCACATAAAAATGAATAAATAAAATAAAGTTATTGCATCCAACTACAACTAAAAAGTATATTTAAAAAATTTTAAAAAATAAAATATCTACAAGTGAATTTTACTTTTTAATGGGCTAAACTATATAAACCTTCTACTCATTTTATGGATAAAAAACACAATAAAAACTTAAGCAAACTACAGTATGAAAATAATTCGAAAAACATAAAAAGAATCATACTGTATATCAGGAAGTTAAAATCTTCCATTGCTATTTTCATTTGAGGCAACTGTTGCTTTATCACAATAACAAGCAAAATAGACTTGCTACTTGATTTGTTTAAAGTAGGAGAAAGACTAATTTTATAAAGCTGGACATAAAACTTAAGGAAACCCAAAAGTATACTGATGTTGTAAACTTAATATATCATAAATGTTTTTGGTGTTTCTACAGATTTGTGGCACTTTAGTGAGCATAACAATTCTGTATGGTTCCAATGAAGCTGGGAATGTGACTACTATGGGCACAGGAAGGCATGGGCTAGCCTCTGAACTTGTAAGTTAGGATATTACTGAATGAATGCTCCCTTCTGCTTAAGTACATGCCTTCACGGGGGCCAATATTGCTGGGAAAGGATTAACATTAGTTTGTTTTTAATGCTTCTCCCACTTTCCATCTTTTCTGAGAGGCTTTCCTGGCCCATTCAACCCAAACCTACACTGAACATTAGTTCCACTCTCTTTCCTTTGATAAAAGCTGAGCTATACCTCTTTTCCTAATAAAAGTACAAACACCGTCATGCAATGATTAGTTGGCAAAAGAACAGCTTCTCAGTATTCAATTTCTTGGGATTTTTCTTTTTTTCTAGAATGTTTTACTCCTATAAGGACACACATACACACACACACACACACACACATACTTCTTCTGAGAATTCTACTCACCTTCAAATCTCAATTTTGGCAACCATTTTCCCAGAAATCCTGGGGCAGAGATGATTAGTTATCCTCTCGTATTCATCCCCTCTTTTTTTCTGGCTACCCAAAATAAATAATGCATTTCCCAGTTTTCCCTGCTGCTGGACATTGCCATGTGATTAAGTTCTGGCTAATGGGATGTAAGTAAAAGTGGCTTGAGCAACATCTAGAAGTCTTTCAATGGCAGAGAAATTGTTCCTGTCATTCTTTCCCCTCCTTCCTATTGTGGAATGGGGAAATGGAGTTGAAATAGCCATCTTGGACAAGGTGACTTTGGGAATTGAGGCCACAAATAGCATAGTAACAAGACAGAAGTAGTCCTTGACATTGTGGAGGTAGACAGACTACAACTCCACAATGTCAGAAAATTTTCTGTTTACTTTAAACTACTGCTATTTGCATTTCTGCCACATGCAATTGACCTAATTCTGTCTGATTAGGAGCCATTTAATGTGCACTACCAGAACCCTGAGCTTGTATTCTGACACTGCAACCATCTATGTTCTTGTCTGAAAGCTCCATGAGGGCAGAAACTCCACCTGCTTTGTTCATCTTTGCATTCTTATCACTTTGCATGATGATTGCACTTGGTAAGATCAAGAAAATATTTGATGAATAAACAAATGAATGCTGAGTTGTGTTTCTGTGCATGCCATCATAATTCTCAAAATAAACTGAACTGGTAGCTACTTATTCTGCACTTATTTCATTAGTTCAAACATTATACAAATAAGCAGGTAAGGGCAGAGAAGTAATCATAAAAATGATACTAAATAAAGCATAAAAGAAGTACTTGAATACAGAATTGCAATGTTGTTTATCACACATCTAGATGTTCAGCTATTAAGTAAATGTGGAAAGACAACCAGCAAACTAATACCTAATAGATTGACAAATGATTGTTGCAAGCTGTGTGATTTCATGGTATTGTGCAAGGTACTGGGAACAGTCTGATACAGCATCGGGGCTGCTGGAAAGGCTGAAGGATTTCAAAGGTCTATACAGAAGTGACTCATTGAACTGAGTGCAGTGGCTCATGCCTGTAATCCCAGCAATTTGGGAGACTGAGGCAGGAGGATCACAAGTTCGAGGCCAGCCTTAGCAACTGAGTGAGAACTTGTTTTTTAAAAAAGTGACACCACTGTAATGATTTAGATATGAGGTATTCCCTAAAATCTCATGTGTGAGAGAGTGCAAGAAAATTTAGAGGTGAAATAATTGGGTTATGAGAGTTTTAACCTAATCAGTGCATTAATCCCCTCTTAAGGATTAACTGGGTGTTAACTGTAGGCAGGTAGGGTATGGCTGGAGTGGGTGGGTCATTGATGCACAACTTTGGGGTCTATATTTTGTCCATGGTGAGAGAACTCTGTGCTTTCTGGTGCCATGTCCTGAGCCTTCCTCCACCACTCTTCTCCCATGATGTTCTGCCTCACCTCCAGCTCAGAGCGATGGAGTAGGCCATCTGTGGACTGAGAACTCTGAAACTGTGAGTGCCAAGTAAACTTTTCTCTGCTAAAATTATTCTTGTCAGGTCTTTTTGTTACAGCAGTGAAAAAGCTGAGTAAAATACTCACTGAGGAAGGTAAAAATAAAGGGAAGATATCAAACAGAAAAAAGTAACATACATATAATCATCTTTCAATCGCAGTGATTTAGTGTTGCTATTTACAATTGAAAATGTTGTTATTTATGTTCTGCATCAGTTCAAGCCTTATGTGACTGATTCCTTTCATCCCAATTTGTCACCCTTCTTCAAACAGTATGTTATAGATCACATAAAACAAATGACAAAAATATAAACAAATATTTTTCAATTTTTAAGTAAAAATGTAATCTGTGGTCTTGGAATTCTTTGTATTTTATTATTTCTTGTCCTAAGTCACAAGGCTGATTTCTGTGAGGTAAAGTGATATATTTTAAAAATAAGTATCTCACAAGGAAGCAGTTCTAAGGTTTTCACCTTCTTTGCCAGCAACCACTGGTAGATATCTTATAACTCAACGATATCCTTTTTCTTTAGAGCTAGGAATAGAAAACCACATCAAAGTCATCACTACCCAGAAAGGACAGGGTTGTACTTTTTTTTTTTCATTCTGGAGACTTAAAATGCTTACAACATAAACCAGAGGATTTCTTTCTTTCTTTTTTTATTTACCCATCTCTTTACCCAGAGAAGGTCTCAAAAAATTGATAATAGCAAGTGCATTACTGCAATGATGGGCTGATTGACTATGGAACATATGCACCCCCTGCTAACTCCCTAATTGAATTTTAAAGACTAGAAATCTAGATATCTGTTGTCATTCCTGTGCCTTCCTTTCCACTCCACATCTGCCTTCACCCAGGAAAAGTGTTGCTGTGGACTTCCGTGACTCATTTATTTATTTTTGAAGTACTGGGGTTTGAACACAGGGGCATACTAACACTGAGCTGTGTCTCCAGACCTTTTTTATTTGTATTTTAACATAGGGTCTCACTAAATTGCCAAGGCTGGCCTCAAATTTGGGACTCCCCTGCCACAGACTCCCAAGTTGCTGGGATTACCAGTGTGTGCCACTGTGCCTGGCTTCAGTGACCATTTTAGCAAAGAAGGTAGGCTTATGGGAAGCAAACTGGATGACCCAAAGTTGAATATAAATTATTAAAGAAGAATATTGAGAGATTCCTTAGTTAAAGTCTTAAGATTGATTTTAATTATATGCAATCTTATTATACACTGGTCTGTCCTGAGATGCATTTTTGAGAATAGAATATTCTAAATCTATTCTGCCTTATTTTTACTGAATCAATTTACCACTCCTCTTTCAACAGTTCCATTATTTCACCAATTATATCATATTAACCTTATAATTCCATTACAATCACACTATATCTATATCAAGATTAGCATTTATCATACCATACTATGGTTGGCAATATGTAGAAACATATAAAAATTTGTCCACAACACATGTCTATACCTAGTGGTTTCTCAATAAATGTTGGAGGAAATCCTGAATTACAATAAAACAACAAATGATAGTA